CACATTTCAAACCATATTTGTCTCGAATAAGGTATATTATAGACCTCAACCATAAACATTCTCGACTTGCTTCATGAATAGCAATTATCTCAACATAATTAGATGAAGTAGCCACGATTGATTGCTTAGTCGATCGCCAATATATGGCAGTGCCTCCATATGTAAACACATAGCCTGTTTGAGATCGAGTTTTGTGTGGGTCATATAAATACCCAGCATCGGCATAACCAACAAGATCGGGACTACAATCATTGCCATAAAATAATCTCATATCGGTAGTCCCTTTTAGNATGCATGCCATAGACTCTATTCATTATGAACTTTATTTTATTTGGAGCATTAGCAGTTGAATATGACATTTAGTTTTGGGTCAGCAAATACGTCTGGCAATATTTTGTAAATGAATTACNGACATTAACTGAAAAAGTTATGTCAGACCTTGTAATATTAGAAAGATATATTAGTGCACCAATTACACTAATATATGGTACTTCGGGACCAATAAGCTCTTCATTATTTTCATGAGGTCGGAATGGATGTGCTTTATCCATATATAATCGCTTTAAAATTATTTTAGTGTATGCTGATTGATGGACAAAAACTCCATCTTTCATATACACAATTTGTAGACCAAGACAAAATTCTGTCTTTCCAAGATCTTTCATTTCAAATTCTTTCTTTAAATAGTATACTGCTTTAGGAAGCTCCCTAGGAGTTTCAATGATATTTAAATCATCAACATACACGGTGATTATAATAAATTTAGATCTATATCTTTTTATAAAGATACAAGGACAAATTGAATCCTTCTTGTACCCTTCTTTCAACAGGTACTCACTCAGGCGACTATATCACATGCGCCCTGATTGTTTCAATCCGTATAAGAATTTTTGAAACTTTATTTAATAAATTTCTTGGAAACCTTAATATGCTTCAGAACAATTTAAATCCTTCAATAATTTTCATTATACGCATATCACATTTTTTTTTGTATTTTCAGATTAAAACCTGAAATGGCGACATCCACCACAGAAGAACATGTCTCTATATAATCAATGCCAGAATATTTACAAATTTTTTTGTGACACAAGTCGTCTTTATGTTTATCGACTTGCCTTTTTTTTTTCCGCACAAGAACGCATTTATACCTCCATTGGCTTTATACTTTCAGGTGTTGGGACTATCCATCCAACTTTATATTTTTCAGGTGAAATCAATTTTTATTGCGTATTTTTCATTTGGCCAATCATTTATCTGTCCAAATTTTATGATAAATTTGAGCTCAAGATCCTCGTCAATATTAATACTATTGAGCGCTATATTATATTAACAATATTGTCGACGATCATTTTATATCGGTTCTACTATTACCCAATAAAGACATAACTTATTGAGATCTCTTTATCTTATTATTTTCAGGTACCTGAGCCTTTCCCATGAGGTCTTATGAAGTGTTATGTCGTGGTGCTCTTCTAGAGCACTTGCCTCCTTATTATGACCATCTTGAACATTTGCTCCTCTCCTTCTTCAAGGAGTTTTATCTTTGGAACCGATTAGTCTATTATGCTTTATGCATGCCATGGACTCTATTCATTATGAACTTTATTTTATTTGGAGCATTAGCAGCTGAATATGACATTTAGCTTTGGGTCAGCAAATACGCCTGGCAATATTTTGCAAATGAATTATCACTTGAACTTCAAGTTCACATTTTCTCGTACGAGGATCTCGATGTACTCATAATAATTCATTACATGCATTACTTTTTCAGCTGCCCATTTTCTCCCCCTATTGTTGGGATCACCAACACATATCCCTAGCCTTATTTGGGGATCCATCTTTGTGCACTGTGGTGGAACAATTAAATCATATAGCACATTCATATTTCTAGATGGAAATTATTTGGTTCCTGACCCTGAACCGATTGTGATAGGGAGAACTTATCTTAATTTGGCTAGATGCGTACAAGTGCTGTTGTATATTAAATAATACATCACATACCAAATTTTATTTTAGAAATTTTGTTCTCATAAATAATAGTTTAGCTATAATTGGAGGCATACAATTTCTGCTAAACCAACTTGGATTTAAACCAATATTATCAAGATAAATAATCATAATTTATATTTTGGAACTGTGCTCTAATAATTTGAGCAATCAATCTTGGAAAAAGCCAAACTACAAGTTGATAACAAATGCACATGTGACCAAAGAATAGATGCTTCTATTAAAATCATATAATAGTAAACGATCGACATGGCAGGTGACTGGACCCATATATTTATCACCTTTTATTAGTTCCAGAAATCAAAGGATTCAATCCCAACTTTAACTGATATATCATGAGAATAAGCAGCACAAGAGAATTCTTGAAGAATCTTATATTTCTTCAATATATGTCAATGTAATTCTCAATTAATTTTTCGCATTATAATTGAACCGAGATGGTCAACCGATCATGCCAACTAATATTTGTTTTAGTAAACCTCTAGTTTACTTGTGACATATGATTCCATCATCATGCTTATATTTGTGTAGTACAACTAAAAAAAAATCGGGTAATCTTTCATATTTATCCGTTATGATTATAGAAATATGAAAATATTCAATATTTCTTTCATTTATAATCTCAATATGCCAACCACTTTGACTTATACATTTGAAACTCAAAAAGTTTCTTTTGAGACTTTGCAATATCAATGTCGTGAATACTTTTATTCATCTGGGTAGTAACAAATTAATTTTTTCGGAGCTCTTAACAATTTTTGTACTACAAGATCTTTTGTCACACCATTCATATAGTAAATATCTCCTTCATGGAGAAGGCACAACAAAATATTTTTTGGTGTATCACATGTACGCGACCAATGACATATTCATGTAACCACACAATAATATTTATTCTCTTTATTTTACTCAAATCTCCCTCAGAGGTGAGTTGTGTGCTATTCATCCAATCATGCATTGCATGTATTTATTCATTACTTTTATCACATATTACAATATTCACATTTAGGAATGGGTCTGCATTCTCAATGCTTATCACAAGTCACATTTTCTTCAATGTATGTATCATAATCGGCGGCGAGCTTTATTATTTTGCATACCAACTTGATGGTAAACATTACCTTCACATTTTGAAGAACTATTATTATTATTATTATTGTGAAGGCAATGTTTACCTCTTGAGTTAAACTATTCATAATGTCATTTGGATATAATTCTCAACAATAGACTTTCGTTTACTCAAATCAGCTAAGTAATTAGTATCAAACAGATATATGAAAATACAAAATAATATTAAAAATTCACATGTGGTATTTGCTGCAATAAGCTTACTTCAAGATGAAAGTGATATGACTAGAACATTAAAGAAAAATAATGTATCAAATAAAATAATATAGTATTACTAGTTACCATGGACTTTTATGGAAACTAAGTATTATGCTCTCTAGAAAAACACAGAGATATAGCAGAACCTTTAATTGAAAAAAATCATTAACAATATTTTTAACATTAAAGAAAAAGTCAATACTGGAATGACTCTACCATCTTGTTGCCTCCCACATCAGTTATAAAATAGGAGCAGTTATGTATTTTAAGTCACAGGAAACTAAACCCTTTTTTTATATTTAATGGAGTGTACTAAGAATATCGTGTACAAATAATGAAAAATTGGATTGCAGAGATACAAACTCACTCAATTTTTCAATATACGAGAATTAAAAGTTTTGATCGGCCAATGCTAATTCAAAATATTTTTCCATTTGGATCGTATATTTATTTATCAATAACGTATGCTAGTTGTGCTATTAAGATTACCCGAGAGAAACTTACCTCACATTACCTTTTCAAAAGTCAGAATGGCGCATGATGGTCAAGCATATATTTTATAGTAAAACGTTCAGTTAAGGGAAACTTTACATAAGGTTCTTGCTTTTTTTTTTTTTAACTAAGGAACCAAAGTTCCTCAAATGACTTTGCAAAAGCTGTAGTAGCTCCCCAATTTCTTGTACTTCTTTTGGTCTTTGGTTTAGTACGTAACTCTTGGCTGCATCATTATATACTTCTGATTCTTATAATAAGATATATATAACCAAGATACGAGATGAAAAAGATCAGACCAAACTTACAACAAATATTAGAAACTCGTTCATTGAAATGGATATTGATAATGCAACAAAATAAAATAAGTAAAACATGGAGAAGTAATTAGTTTATATTTAAGTATTTTCGTTTATAAAGTAAAACACTTAAGAATATGAATGGATTTGTAAGAAGAAAATATTTAGCATTGAAAACTTTCATAACAAATAAAGAACCTATGAGAAAAACGAATAAGAAAATAAATTAATTAAAAAGGATTAGAAATCGTATCTTAGCATTAGCATTATATGCCTTATCACAGTGTACTGGTCTGCTCAACCTTATTGTTACTTCAGTTATGTTTGATACCATTCCTTGAAATTGCTAAATGAGAAAAAAAAGCTTATCTCTTCAAGATGAATATTAGGCACGGCAGGAACATGCCTTTTATGATGTAGGACAATTTTGTAGATGTAAGTAACTCAATTGATTAGGGCATCGTGCTGATAACGTGTTATAAAATAAAAGCAACTTAGTAAAATATGAACAAGACATGTTGTTATATGAATTAAAAGCAATTTAGTAAAACATGAACAAGAAATGGAGATAGAGAGAAGGAAGAGATTTTCTTCTTTAATTGTGTGTATTTTCTTATCTATTACAAGACCTTTATATAGATATAAAAAGTGAAGAAAAATATGTCATTGAATATGTCATTAAGCATTTGAGAAAATCATATAGGAAGATTAGACATCCACCATAATTTGATTTTTCTTATAACAATTCGCGATTTATAAAGTATGTGATTTATAAGACGGCATTTATGCGATTTACTATTCTGTAATTTATCAGTAGCATTTGAAAATCGCGATTTATTGGCCCATATTAGTTATGAAAGAAGAGAATAAGAAAAAGAAAAATAAGCAGCAGTAAAAAGGGGAAAGGAAAGCGCACACTCGAAAAGTGTTTCAAAAACCCTCTCTTCTTCTCCTCCGTCACCGGCAACGACAGCTGAAACTCTGAAAGTTACGCTTCAAAAATCTCATCTCACATTCATACTACAACCGTAAAGGTTTCTTTCTTTCTCACCACTTCCTCAAATTTTCAACCAATGGAGAGAAGAAGATTCGACGAATCCTCTGTACTTCCTCACTCTATTGCCGTCGGTTCAGGTCTCCGGTCTTCTCCTCCACCTCGTCCTCCCAATTACACTTGTCGCCGTGTCCAGGTAACGTTAAATACCTCATTTTCACTTACAAACACCTTCTTACACTTCCAATTTTTTTCAATAGTTGAGTTTAAATCTATCTTTTGCTCACCTCGTTGTTTTCCTAGTTTATCTATTTTGCTAATGACAGCTTAATTTGCATTATTTTTAATCCTTTTCTGTGCTAAAAATGTGCTGTAGTAATAAATGTAAGAGATTTGTATGTCAGTGTTGGGATATTGTTTGATTTAAACAATCCCTAGTTTTAGAGGAATCCAACTATATTTAGTTATGGCTAATTATTGAGTATTGGAATGACATGGCTCCAATTATAGTTGGATGGATATAGCCTCATGGTTTAGTTCAAGTGGCAAAGGTTGAGGACTTGTGAATTAGGTCACATGTTCGAGCCTTGCGTCATGTGAACTAAGCTTGGTATTTAAGTTGAGAAGGGTTAGAGCGGCCCATTATCTCCGAGTTTCGTAGGCTGCTGTTGATCCTAAGTTGGCCCCAGACGGGCTTCTTGGTCTTTAGAAAATGTTAGAGTTGAATGGACATAGATGATTCCTGTAGCGGATCCGAACTTGTTTGACATTGAAGTGTAGTTATTGTTTTTGTTGTTGTATATCCATTTTGGAATAGTCTTCATACGTTATTTTGTGATGTTACTCCACAGTTTGAGCATGTATTTTTACTGGCATTGCTGTTTGCATATGCTTTGCTTATTAAGCAACTCCAAGGGAATATATCTGGTGTTTCGACATGCAGAATAGAATCTCTGTTTTTCACATACGAGCTTTGTCAAGGTTAAACTATGTGGTGAGTTAGGTCTGTTGTGATGCAGTTGGGTGTTCTAGTGGAATTGGGAGGGTTTCTCGTTAAGAGTGCTCTCATCAAAACCTTAATGATGGATAGTGTGTATGCTGAAAGAGGACACCGCAGGGATACGGCTTTAAGAAATAAAATTGGAGATTTATTAGGAATACACTTTTTTCCTTTAAGATTTCATATTGACATGGGGTTTATCTGGTAAAGAGTCAATTACGATACTGACTGTATCTTATAGTCATGGAGTTCTTCCCTCTCCTTACATGTTGGCCTCTCTATAGCCGTTCAGGCAAGTCTTTTTGTGGCGACCGTTTGATGAAGAAACATCCTTGCCTCCTTGGTTAAGCATCTTTGTGATTTTTTTCATCTAAAGATAAATGCATAGGGTTGATGTGGGGAAATTTGTAGCAATTCCAAAAGTCTAAATTTGTTATCTTTGAGAATGATGGTAACTTTTCATAGTGGGGGTAATTTTGGATTTATTTATATGTCAGTTGTGGGCAGCACCTGGTTGGCTGCTTGTACTAAAAAGAATATGAAGATTCCTCTTTCGAGAAGATATATTGGTACTTGGAACTTATTATTTGTCACAAATGGCTACTCTATCTTATTTCAATTTTCTTTCGTGAATTGCATCATCATCATCAACAACAACATATCCAGTGTGATCCCACATGTGGGGTATAGGAAGGATAGAGTGTACGCAGACCTTATTAGTTACCCCTACCTTGTGTGAGATAGAGAGACTGTTTCTGATATACCCTCATCTCAAGAAAAACGTTTCCAAAATATAGACCCTCATCTCAAGAAAAACGTTTCCAAAATAAGTTTAAAAAATACAAGAGTAAAGATGCTATGCTGAAAATACCGAAGAAAAGAAACGTATTGGTAGCAAAAATAATAATATAACCAAAGCAAAGGCAACAACAATAGTAATAAAATTGAAGAATAATATAACAATAATAAGGAGAAGAGGGAACAAATAAGGTGCTCTAAACTAGAACCATGTCCTGCTTTATAAAAGAGAGAAATCGCTTGACTACCTATTAATCTTCTATCCTAATTCTCGACCTCCATGCTCACCTATCTAGGGTCATGTCCTTAGTAAGCTGAGATGTGCCATGTCCTGTCTAGTCAACCTCTCCCCAATTATTCTTCGGTCTACCTCTATCTCTCCTTAGACCTATCGGTGTTAACCTCTCGCACTTCTCACTGGGGCATCTATGAACCTCTTCACATACCCGAAGCACCTCAGCCTCGCTTCCCTCATTTGGTCCACCATGGAGGCCACTCCCACCTTGCCCCATATATTTCCGTTCCCAATCTCACCTCTCCTAGTATGCTCATACATCAATTAAGCATCCTCATTTCCTCTACTTTTATCTTATGAATGTGTGAGTTCTTGAGTGGCCAATACTCTGCCCCATATAACGTAGTTGGTCTTTTAACCACTCTATAAAACTTAACTTTTAATCTTGGTGGCACCTTCTTATCACATAGGACACCAGATACGAGCCTCCATTTCATCTAGCCCCCACTCTAACATCAATCTCCTCATTTCCTTAGATTATTGATCCAAGATATTTGGAGCTTTCTCTCTTAGGATGACTTGTGTATCAATCTTCACTTCCATATCCGCCTCATGTGTTGCGTCACTGAATTTGCACTCCAAGTACCCTGTTTTAGTCCCGCTCAATCTGAAACCTTTAGACTCTACGGTCTGTCTCCAAACCTCTAGTCTAGCGTTAACCCCACCGCCTGTCTCGTCAATCAATACTATGTCATCTGTAAATGTATATTGCATCAATCTGCATGCAAAAGTAAATCATTGAATCACCATCGTATTTTGAATCAAGGGTTAAAACTAGGAAAACAACTATAGGCACCCTGAAGGATCTTACTTGGTTAGTTGGTTATTTAATTTAGTCTTCGAGTTGGTGACTTTTCTTAGACGGAGACCCAGGAGCAACTAAGCAAGCTAAGGTTTTGCTGTTATTCTTTCCGATTTTCCCTTTGTGTGTTGTGTATGAGGAAAAATGTTTTCTTGAAAAATAAGTAGGTTTCACACTTATTTTCCGTGTTTAGTTAGTTAGTGGAAAAGTATTATTATGGATTGCTAATAATGTCTAAGTGTTGGTAGGAGCAAGGGTGGATGACCTTCCAGTTTTTATAGAATTATTTCATAACTGGATCTCACTGCAGGGAGCATTGAAGCACTTGGCATCAATTGATCCATTGGAATTATGTGATGAAGCCAAAGTAGAGCACTGCCGGGCAACTAGAGATCTAAGAAGTTGTGGACGACATGTACAAAGTGTGTTGAATTCATGCGGTCATGCCTCTTTATGTGAGGAATGCAGCCAGAGATGTGATGTTTGCCCTATATGTAGGATCTCTTTACCAAAAGATGCCGATAGACTTCGACTGCGCCTATATTACGAGTGCATAGAAGCAGGTCTCATCTCCAAGAGGTGTGATGATAGATTACAAGAGAAAGAGGACAGTGATAAACAACTGGTTGCTGATATCCAGCGGCTTTATACTTTGTTTGATGTGGCACTGGAAAACAATCTGGTTTCTCTAATATGCCACTGTATCCTTTCATACTATTAGTGCCAGTGGTGGACTAACATCTTTTGAGTTTCGAATAGTTTTCTTGCAAGGAAATTAGTTAAAAAGCTGTTAATCTTTTTCTTTATTGTTCTGTTAATTCTTTGTGAGAGGAGATAACCGTAAAAGGAATAAATTGGTGGTTGATTGTATGGTTCTTTTCTTACTTAGGAGAGTAGAACCTCTTAACTTCTTTGTAGTTGGTTATATATTTTATTATGTTGTCTTAACGACTGCAAACAGATGTGATAGATGTTTGTATGGATGAAAGTGCTGTGTCCAGTGATCCCATCATTGCTTTCTTGCTTGATGAGGTGGTGGTCAAAGATTGGTGCAAGAGGACGTTCAACAATATTTTGACCGAGATTCAAGTGATATGTATCCTAATAATTAAAGCTTGTAGTGTACTTCTAATTCCTTATCAAAGGGGAAATAGCGTTCCTTGATTTTGTTATAGATAATCTATCCATGAATGCACTGAAAGAGAACTTGAGTTTATTTCTCAAGTTCTCTGTGAAGTTAGGTGGTATCTCTAACGTCATTGACGTCTTGGAATCATCATTCAAAGGTTCTCTTTCTGCAAAGCTTCATGATCTACACCACCTTCAAGAGAGCATCTTAAAGACAAAACAGGTAAGCTTTCCACAGATTCTTGCAAGTGGACCCAAGCCACCTCTTCTTCATTTCTTATTTTTGCCTTTTTTTTTTTTGGGAAGAAACACATCTATGAGCACAAAGAAATTGCACAGGTTCACTATTTCTTTATGCTACTTGCATTAACTAGAGATTCTGGATGATGTGATGAGCTAGTGATTATCACTATTCAGCTTTTGTCTGCACTGTTGCTTTCTGTATCTATTATGTTACACAATTTGAATTTTGTATCTTGCCGGTCTGACAACTTCTTGATTACACTCAATGAGATTATTACTGCTGTGCAAATCTGCAGCATGTGGATATTATGATTTGGTGTATAAGGCATGAGTTCTTGGAGAATGTGAGTTCTAGGCATAGAGATTTTGCATCGTGGCGAGCTCTGGTCAGTGGAAGGAAATCAGCTGCAATTAAACGTGCATGGCCCGATTCAATAAGTCATTCTGAGGAATCCAATGGACAATATCGTTCCACTCTCTTTATTGAAGATGCTCTTTCGAATATTGAAGCAGCAGAGCAGGGAGACGTAGATGATCATGAAGAAGAGTTAGCACTTGCCTATTTGCAGAAGGATGGTGGTTCTTTATATTCGAGGTCAAAAATAGAGGGAATGGCTGGATGCTATCCATTTGAGAATTTGCGAGCTGCTGTTGACATTCTCTTTTTACGAGGAAGTTCAGACTTGGTGGTCGCAAAACAAGCAACTGTATCCTTTTGTAATTGAATATTTAATATATTTTATGTTTTTGTTTTCTTTTTTTGGATAAGTAGTTGATTTGTAGTGGATTTTTTATGAGAACTGTTCCCTTTCTCTTTTCCTTCATCCTTCAAAGTTCTTGTATTATATGTTTGACCGGCAATGGACAGTACCTGACGAGGAGTGGAGACATATCATTGATGATTTTGCTGCCACTTTTGGTGTGACCAGACACTCGCTATTGGAATCCTTTACATTTTTCCTTTTAGATGATGAAGGTGCTCTGGCTCTGAAGGTAAGGATGGAAGTTCTGTTCAATAATAGCTGCTGAGAGTTATTTTGTAGGCTTCGTTATCTTATAATAATCTCATATCAATTTTTCTTAATGTCGTCATCAAAAATATTTTTTTTATTGTTAACTGTGCTCCTAATGAGTTGTAACTTGTGCATTTGCATTTTCTTCTCTGCCTGGTTTTAGGATGTAATCAAATGCTATTGAACGGAAATGAAATTAGGGAGTGGAAAAGGACGAGGATACTCAATGTTAAAATGTATCTTTTCCTTCCGGGAGAGTAGACTAAATATTTGGATTTACTTTTATTCTTTCCGGGGTTTTGTGGGCGGGAGTGGGACATTTATTTGGTGGAAGACCATCAGAGATGATGCTCTTCTTACAGACAGTACTTCCCTCCGATTGCCTTTCTAAAGTTGAGAGATATTCACGTTGTGCTTCAGGTGCACATTGCAACGTTCCATTATCAGACTTGGCTAGCAGCTAGAGTGTTAACAGGATGTAAACGTTTTGACTTGTAGGGTTTTGACACATTTTGTTCCTCTGCGGCCAGAGTTTATGTGATGAACGCAATTCCGCTTTATGTTTTTATCTTGGGCATCTTATGAACTGTTTTACCTTTTGTCATTTCCACAACCTTAGTAGACTTCTTGATTATTGTCTCTTCAATTTGTCCTTTTTTAAATAAAGAAATCATCATTGTGAGCCTTCTTAAGCATATGGTCTTTGGACTGGTGCGGATGCTGAATATCAGTTACTTGTATCCCAGGAAGCCTGTCAACTTCTCCCAGAAATATCAAGTCCAACAATACACCCGAAGGTTGCTCAGGTTCTCTTGGAGCGGGAAAACCCTGATGCAGCTCTCATGGTTCTGAGGTGGTCTGGACAAGACGGGACACAGCTAGTTTCACTTCGGGAGGCTGTGACTGCTGTTCGTGTTCGGGTAGAGTGTGGACTTTTGACTGAAGCATTCACGTATCAGAGGCTGGTCTGTGCTAAGATCAAGGAAAAGAAGTTGAGGGGCGAACAATTTCAGAGTGCTTGTGTTGAAGTAGAGGATCAATCCTGGTCGTGGGGTCTCTGGGTGGAGACTCTTGTCACTGAAATTTGTTGTCTTTGCATTAGGAGAAACTTGGTTGATCGTATGATAGAACTGCCATGGAATGCTGATGAGGAGAAACATCTTCATAAATGCCTGCTGGATTTTGCTGCGGAGGATCCTTCCACGGCCATAGGAAGTCTTCTTGTAGTTTTCTATTTACAGGTACTTCTTTTTATATCCAGGCATTTTCTATTCTGCAGTTTTCCCAGCTTGCTGTTGCACTCATTTCTTTTATTTTGGCAGCTCATTTACCTACATACGTGTTTCCCTCTTTCGCTCGAATTCATTTACTAGTTACTACCTGTAAGAAAATTAAACAAGTATTATGCCATTATCCTTTTGGTGTTGGCCACTGGTGACTAGACTTTTGTCAGATTGCACTTGATTTTTCACGGCAACGTACTGGCAGTAACTGGAGGATTGACTTTGAATGTTGTTCCCTTCTGAAAGTTTTTTTAAAGCTGGGTAAGATCCATTGAAGTAGGCAGTCTTAACTATTTTATCTAGATGAGTGTCAGTTAGAAACATTGCGTAATGTTGATCATTTTGGATTGGCTGATTTTTCACCCAAATCTGCTTGCACTTAGCTTTTTTATTTATTTATTAAAGCCAACTTGTAGTGGCGGGGGGTTTGGCATTGACCCCTACCATGCAGATTAATAACCAAAATAAGAAAACATGGAGGAGGGGGACATTAACCCTAGTTGTGATTCTTTAAACTATTTTGGATGCCATACCAGACAAGTATTGGATTGTTTTCCTTCCCTACTTGCACTTACCTAATTATACTGATTTAGCACTATCAGTGATGGACCTCTGGATGGTATATAGAGTATTAGATCTCGTCTGGTCCGGTCGCTTTACCCCTGCCCATCTTCCGCATCGCCCCCTCAACCTCCTCAACCTTAATGTAATTTTTAGGACGAAGAAGATGCCCGACGCATGGAGGTGGAGTTTGATGGTGTCTTTGTACAAGAATAAAAGTGATGTCCAGAATTGCAACAACTATAGGGGTATCAAGTTGCCTAGTTACACTAAGAACGTTTGGGAGAGGGTGGTGGAGAGGAGGGTCATGAGAACTGTGTCTATTTCTGAGAACCAATTCGGATTTATGCCCGGGCGGTCGGCTATAGAAGCCATCCATCTTGTGAGGAGATTGGTGGAGCAATATAAGGAGAGGAAGGACTTGCATATGGTGTTTATTGATCTAGAAAAACCATACGATAAAGTCTCGAGGGAGGTTCTGTGGAGATGTTTGGAGGTTAGCGGTAGTCCAGTAGCGTACATCAGGGTGATTAGGGATATGTATGATGGTGCTAAAATTCGGATGAGGACTGTGGGAGGAGACTCGGGAGATTTTTCGGTGATGATGGGGTTACATCAGAGTTCAGCTCTTAGCCCATTTTTGTTTGCTCTGGTGATGGATGTGCTGACGTGACACATCCAAGTGGAGGTGCCATGGTGTATGTTATTTGCAGATGACATAGTGTCGATGGATGAGACGCGTAGCGGGGTCAACGCTAGGCTGGAAGTTTGGAAACCGACCCTGGAGTCTAAAGGTTTTAAGTTGAGTAGAACGAAAACTGAGTATTTGAAGTGTAAGTTCAACGATGGGACGCATGAAGCAGAATTCGACGTGAAGCTTGATACACAAGACATCCCAAGAGTGATAGTTTCAAATATCTTGAGTTTGTTGTCCAAGGCAATGGGGAGATTGACGAGGATGTTATACATCGTATTGGAGCAGGGTGGATGAAATGGAGGCTCGCATTTGGTGTTTTGTTAAGAAGGTGCCACCAAGACTTAAGGGCAAGTTCTACAGAGTGGTAGTTAGACCAACTATGTTGTATGGTGCAGAGTGCTGACCAGTCAAGAAATCCCATGTCAGAAGATAAAAGTAGCAAAAATGAGGATGTTGAGATGGATGTGTGGGCATACCAGGAAAGATAAGATTAGGAATAAAGTTATTAGGGACAAGGTGAGAGTGGTCCCTTTGAAAGACAAACTGCGAGAATCGAGGCTGAGATGGTTCAGACATGTGATGAGGAGAGACATAGACGCGCCGGTTAGGAAGCTTTAGAGGTTGACCATGACGAGTTTGAGGAAGGGTAGAGGTAGGCCTAAGAAGTACTGAGGAGAGGTGATTAGGCAGGACATGACGTTACTTTAGCTTACCGAGGACATGGCCCTAGATAGGAGGTGTGAAGGTCGATGATTAGGGTCGAAGGTTGATAGGTAGTCGAGGGTGGATAGTATTAGTACTATTCTTGTATTTCTTATCTCTAGATATTTGTTAGTATACATGAGTCTTTCTTTTTTTTTTTCTTTTCTTTTTCTTGTTTTTATGGTTGGTTGCTTCCTTGTCATTGTTCGTTGAACCGAGGGTCTATCGGAAACAACCTCTCTACCTTCACAAGGTAGGGGTAAGGTCTGCGTACGCATACCCTTCCCAGGCTCTACTTGTGGGATTATGCCGGGTTTGTTATTGTTGTTGTTGTTACATCGAAGAAAAGAATAAGTGTATGTCAAGGGGACATCCTTACAACTACAACAAACTCTTTGGTACAAGTTATGATAGCCATTTTGCAGTAAACGGGTTTATTATACTATTATAGAGATTAGTCTTTGACCTTAAGCGTTATGATTGTACTATTTTGCTCTATTCACCCTGATTATTTTTCATCATCTAGTACCTCAAACACACAACTTAGAGCCTGTTTGGTCAAAGCTTCTAGGAGGCCGAAAGCACTTTTTTTTATGTTCAATAATTTTTTTGAAATTTGAAGTGTTTGGCCAAGACACAGAAGTGCATTTGAGCAGTAGCAAAAGCCGTTTTTCTATTTTTTGGGGAAGAAGCTACAAGTTCTAGCTTCTTCCAAGAAGCAAAAGCAAGTAGAAAATCAACTTTTCAAGACAGAAATATCCTCACCATAAATTTTCATTCCCCAAATTAACCCTCATTAATTTAACCTTTTTAATTTTTGTTTCTGCCATCGAATTCTTCATTGTTTTTTATTCTCCTTCTCCGATTCTTCTTTGGAATAATCTCTTTACTATAAAAAGATCTCTTCTTTTATAATAAGATTTATGGAGTAGATTTTTAATTTATACTGAATGAAGTATATTGATATATTTGAATCAATCATGTAAACAATAAGTAATATCATATACCCAATATTATTTTTTGGATAACTATATTTTATGTATTAAAATCTTTAATGTATATATTTTTACTTTATGGTTTATAAATTCAATTCTCTTTTAAATAATAATAGTTGTAAATTGTACCTTTACCTTTTTTCATTTTTTTTATTTTTATTTTTATAATTTGACATTCAAAAGTATTTTTTGGAAAGATTATTTTGCATACATCCCACCCTCCCTAGATCCCACTTGTGGATCACACTGGGTATGTTGATGATGGCCAAACACGATTTGCTTATCATATATTGCAAAAAACACTTCTCAAATGAATTGGTCAAACACAAATTACTTTTTTCCAAAAGTACTTTTTGAAAAACACTTTTCAAGAAAATAAGGCAGCTTGGCCAAACATGCTCTTAATACAACATATTTGCTAAAAATGCTACTACTTCATTGTGTACAGCTGCATTCTCTTTCACAACTGCATTCTCTTTCTCCCTGTGTGTGTGTGTATTTCAAGCAATGAAGGAATACCGAGCTTGATGTTGGATGGATTCCTAAGTTTTTCGTGTCTAATTTGTGACTCACATCCCTTGTCAAAAAAAAAAATGGTCTCTCACTTCAAGTGTTAAATTTATGGAATGAAGCTCCACCTATTATCCTGGTCACTTTGGCCAGACATTTCTCTTTGGAGTTTTGAGTTTGTATCATCACAAATAGAATAGGATTATTATGAAGACATGAACAATTAAGAAAAATGGAATATGATTATCTTGTTGGTAAGAAAAATTGAGTTATTGAATTATATTACTGATGATAAAACATGTGAAACCATTAATGATGAAAATCATATAGTTTACCATACCGAAGATAACTTCTACTTGAGCCTGTGACACATATCTATGCGTATATGTATTAACCGGTATCTCTGATGTTGGGAGGTAGCAGGTGCCAAGTGGAATAGTCGAGATGCACACTAGCTGATTCGGACACCATCTTTATTTAAAAAAAAAAAAAAAAAAACTAGGAATGTTTGTGTTATATGTATATATTCACTGGCAGGAGTTGATTTCAGGATTAGTTTTGGTACTCTTTTGTCTGTAATCTGTCCATCTGGATGGGGATTTCATATGGTTCCTAACGATTGTAGTACTGTCTTTTCGTACAGCGTCAAAGATATGTTGAAGCATACCAAGTTGATCAGAAGCTTCAGAGCATGGAGGAAAACTACATTTCTAAAAATTCCGCCACAGAAGAAGTCTTAGACAGGATAAAATCAACAAATCATTGGAGAACTTGTTTGGTTGTAAGTGAACTTGATCTTTTTGATTTGTTGTTCTCTATGCATATATAGGGTTTGAATATTTACTAGTGTCAAGTTTTGGTGTTTGAATTGGAAATTGTTAGAGTGAATAGTACTTGTTTGCTCTGTGAATCATGAACCTTTTTTTAAATTTTTTTTACCCAGATCCTACTCTGGTTAGGAACACACGTGTGCCTAAACACACTGATCTTGTTGTCATTCAAACAGATTATCTGGATTGGTATACAAAAAATCATTTGTTTCCATGTCCTAAATCTTAATTTTTCCTTTACTGATTGTATCTCGCTGGCAGCCAGGACCAGTATGTATGGTTACCAGAAGATACA